ATAATTAAATTTTTATTATATACCCTACAATAATCCAGGGGGGAGTTCAAAGTGGGGAACCACGGCTTCAAGTGATAGTTCCATCTGCAGCTTTTAGTGGTGCCATCATCAGTTTTGTATTAGGTCCCACAGAGCTGATAAAGGTAAAGTGAACCTGTAGTGTATGTGTATCATTGTAACTTGTATCGTCTCTAACAACAATGCTAATTTAAATTTGGACTTCTCCAGTGTAGGATGCAGATACAAGGCACCGACTCTTTGGTTCCTATGTCCAGTAGATATAGTAGTCCCCTTGATTGTGCCCTTAAAACAGTAAAAACTGAAGGGGTGAGAACATTCTACAACATTCTGCAACACCGTGATTAATGTGTTATAGCTGATGGCGTTCCTTTCAGGTGAAAGGAATTTTTCGTGGAGGTTGTGCAACATTCCTTAGAGAATCTATAGGGAATGCTGTCTTTTTGAGTGTATACGAAAATGTTCGTTATCACATGCATTCAAATATCAAAGCTTCTTCATCTAGTTACAGCAATCTGGCTGATATTGGAATTGGGATCGTTACTGGTGGCCTCGGTGGTGTGGCTGTAAGCATGTTGATAACTAAACATGTTTGTTTTCTGCTATGGTTGAGAACTAAATACCCCACTGAATCTTTTTTTGTTGTGATTTTTCTCTATTGTTCTACCAGTTTTGGTTGACGGTTTTGCCTCTTGACGTGGCAAAGACTTTAATTCAGACAGACCCTGATAAAAACTGTCCAAGAAATCCTTTTCGGGTCTTGCATTCAGTAAGCTTTCTTAAAGCTTTCTATATTGCTTCTTTAATTTCCAATCATTTATATATATATAAAAGATATACCAAAAGTGGTGTCATTTGTAGGTCTACCGAAGGGCTGGATTGAAGGGGTGCTACACGGGTTTGGGTCCTACAATAAGTCGAGCATTTCCAGCTAATGCTGCGACAATTGTCGCATGGGAGCTAGCATTGAAAATGCTAGGCACTAAGCGTGATTGAGGTCAGTTCCTTTGGATTCCAATATAATGACATTTTATTATCTAACTCGCATTAAGTGGTGATTGGTGTTGTGTTACTTTTGTAGAGTCTACCAAATTGCGGATAATACAACAAAGCTCAGGTAAGCTTTCATGAAGCCTATGTCACACACTAGCTAAGTGTTGAGAAGAGAATAATGCTTTTAGTAGAATGCATTTGTCCTCGGAAGAGTTTCTAATTTCCATTTTTTTTTCTTTTACTAGGACATCATTCAGCATTGCATTTGAAGCTAATTCTTTTTTATTAGAGCTTGGTTGACGAACTTGGAACCAGGGGCCTTGATTTTAGCTGCCCTCTATATGCTTTTTCCCCACCCTTTTTTTTGGATAGAACATTTCTATCACTGGCATGAAATTATATTGTTAATGGCCATTGAAGTCAATATTTTGGAAATGTATGGTATGGCCAAGACAGAAAAGCTCACTTTTTTGGACAATTAAACTGCTAAGTGCTAACTGCTGCTACCTTTTATTGGTTTTATGACCTCTCCGCAACATGAGTTCAGTAAAACTATAATGGGGACAGTTGGTTAAATTTTTTAAAGAGTTACACAGAAACCACACAGGGAATATGGGCGCTGTTGGAAAGAAGAAAAAAAAGTAGGGGAGAGAGAGGAAAAAGAACAGAAAAAGGTCCTGATGATTAAGGAGCTATATTTGGTGAACTATTCTATTATGTTGGAATAAGCTGTTTAGTGCACCAATAAGATATGATTTTTTTTTAATCTTACTAGCCATCCTATTATGTTAATGCAGTGTATTTCTTATATCGAGAGGGAAGCCGAGTCAGAATATAATAAGATAGGATAGTCTCTCTTTCCCCCTTTGAATCCCTCCCTCAAATCACCTCCTTACCATAGTCATCACTACTACCTTTCTCATCGTCATTCCTATGACTTTATTTTTCTATCATCATTATTGTTACATCCATGTGGTGAATTGGTAATGGCAATTTTAAGTGGGTCTTTTAATCTTATGCTTTTATTTTAATTTAAGGACTGGGATTGATTTTTATTTTCACATAAGTTATTCTCATTAAATTAAAATACTGTTCAAATATTTTTAATAAACATTTAAATGATAATTAAATTTTTATTATATATATATATATATATATATAATAAATAGCTATGCCT